TAAAAAAAACTCTTAAATAAATTTGTGTTGGTTGAAATAAACAACTAATCTTAAAACTAATTTTTAACTAAAAGTTATTTTTAAATAAAAATTACAATTTAAAAGTGAAGCTCTACAAAAATTTCTTCAATAAAAGCTCTCTACAAACTTGTAGGCATATAAAATTTATTGAATTTAAATTCAATAAATAATTTGGACTATACGTTAAATGTACTAGTCTAAATAAATATTATGGGCCAATGTAATTGATTTAATTATTTAAGTCCAATAATATTGATTGGGCCAGTCCATTTAATTGGGCTATAAATGATGAGCCCACATCATTAAGCCCAAGATGCCATCTTCCTAGAGGCCCAGTTTGATGCCACGTGTCAAATGACGTGGCACGCCAAGTCAAACAGAAGCGCCAATAGGATCATGCTACATGTCAAAATGACAAGGCATGCCAAGTCACATTAAAAGGCTAATGAAACCGCGCCACATGTGCAAGTGACATGTTCTGGCCAATTAAATGCGGCATTGTCACTCTTCAATCTGATTGGTTGGAAAGAGTTTGTTCTCATCACAACTCTTCCCTCCCATAACTATAAATAAGGGTCTTCATAACTTAGAAAAAAGACCAGAAGTATAACAAGAAGCAAGAGAGAGCTAGTGGATCAAACACCGCAAATTTCTGTGCAAATTTCAAGCTTCAAGCAATTAAGCTCAAATTCAAGAGATCAAGTTCAAGCTCAAGAACGAAGAACAAATCAAGGTCCAAAGAGTACTAGTTCAAATAAAAGTTCGTACTAGTTGAATCCAAGATCATCGTTCGTGACAACAAATATAGATTCAAGATCAAGCTCAAAGGCCCTTGAATTTATTTACTATTGGAAAGAAGAATCAGAGGAATAATAGAAATTGTAACGCTCAAATATTTGAAATAAAATACTATGATTGTTGTAATATTTTTCGGTCTTGATTTTATTTTTCTCGACTCAATTTTATTGTCTACAAATTCTGGCACGCCCAGTAGGACAATTTCTATCACTCATCTCTTCTTTTCAAAGTTCTAAAACAAGATCCAACGAATCGACCATGGAAGAACAACTTGCAAATTTGACCAAAGCACTTGAGAAGTTGACCAAGTTTATGGAGGATCGAGATACTCGCCTCGAAAAGTTAGCAAGTGAGATCGAGAGCTTAGCAGAAGCAAAATCAATTCAACCACATGTGGAGCTTTCCGAAGATAAACAAGAGGGAGAATCCTCTGCGAGGAAAACGATCATGGTCAAAGAGATCCAAGTTTCTTCAGAAGGTCTAATTCGTATTGATCAATTGGAGGACTTCATCATAGGGACAATTGAAGATAAAATTGATCCTCCGATTAAATCTTCAATGGCATATGCAAAGTCATACACACAACGAATTGATAACTTGAAGATGCCTACCGGATATTAACCTCCAAAGCTTCAACATTTTGATGGAAAGGAAATCCCAAGCAACATATGGAACATTTCGTCGAGATATGTAACACCGTTGGGACTTATGGGGATCATCTTGTCAAATAATTTGTTCGTTTTCTCAAAGGTAATGCATTCAATTGATACACAGATCTCGAACCTGGTTCTATCGATAGTTGGGAGCAGTTGGAGCAAGAGTTTCTCAATCGTTTCTATAGAACGAGATGCATCGTAAGCATGATCGAACTTACAAACACTCATCAAAGAAAGGATGAGCTAGTTGTTGACTTCATCAACCGCAGGAGAAGCTTTAGCCTCAGCTACAAAGATCGCCTTAGCGAAACCTCTGGCATCGAAATGTACATTCAAGGCATTTATTGGAGTCTTCGTTATATCTTACAAGGCATAAAGCCCAAAATATTTGAAGAACTTGCAACTCATGCACATGATATGGAATTGAGTATGGCTATAAGTGGAGATCAAAGGTTTCCTGGCTTTGAGGCTTTGAGCCTCATGATGAAATAGAAGCAGATGATGCTGAGAATGGGGGTAACTATTCATCTGAACATGAAACTGAAAAGTCCATGCATGTTGCAACGCTCCTCAACGCACGAGCCAAAACTGCAAGTTATAATGCTCTTCAAAGCGCGAGCCTAAACTGCAAGTTACAAGGCTTCTTGGCACATGAGCCTACATTATATGTCATAAAACTCCCCAAATGTGAACTAAATCTTTAAGACGTAAAGCTCTTCAAATTCTAGGAAAGTCTTCAAGTCGCAAAGCTCTTTAAATTTGAGCAAAGACTCAAGTTAAAAGCTCTTCAAAGTCGAGCAAAGACTTCAAATCATAAAGCTCTTCAAATTAGAGACAAACTTCAAATTGCAAAGCTCTTCAAATTTGATCTAAATCTTCAAGTCACGAAACTCTTCAAATTCGAGCCGAACTTCAAGTTGCAAAGCTCTTCAAAATTGAGCAATTCTTCAAGTTGCATAGATTTTCAAATTGAGCAAGTTTTCAAGTTGCGAAGCATTTAGAAACATAAGCTAAATCTTCAAATCACTTACGCTCCTGGACTCACGAGCCTAAACTGCATGTCATGAAACTCTTAAAATTTGAGCTAAATCTTCAAATTACCACGCTCCTGGACTCACGATCCTGAACTGCATGTCATGAAACTCTTTAAATTTGAGCAAAATCTTCAAGTTATAAAGCTCCTCAAAATATGAGTTTAGATTGCAAGTTACTACGCTCCTTAACGCAAGAGCATTTACTCCTAGCCTGCAAAGTATAAATTGTGTATGATCCCAAAAAAAAGTCTGCTAGGTTGAAAATCTCTAAAGAGGAGGCCTAGGCAAAAGTTAGGACATTAAAAAAAAAAAAAAAAAAAAAAAAAAAAAAAAAAAAAAACCTCACCCATTTTGAACTACGGTATGACTTGAACCTCTTCACCGAGGTACGTAGGCAACTTAGATTTTCATTCTAAGTTAAGTCGCATGAGTGCAAAAAAGATGCATAGTGCCCCAATCGTTGTTCAAATAAAGTATGATGGGGTGTAATCTATTCAATCAGCACTTGAAATTCGAGCTGAAATACCATTCTTCTGTTGAACTTTGGATCTCATTTGATTTAAAGGGGGAAAGATGAAATACCATTTAAATTTATGTCTTCAATGGAATGATTATAGTCTTTTAAGAGGCTACCAAGTATTGGTAATGAAGCCCAGAGATTCGCTATGCCTTTGGGGCAAACCTTCAAGTTTTCGATCTTCAAGTTGAAGTGTTTAATTCCTCCAAGTCTTCAAATCTGTCAAGCCTCCAAGTGGAAGTCTACGAGTCCTCCAAGTCTTCAAGTCGCCGGTGTTTTAGTTAAAATCTTCAGATCCGCCAATTCTTCAAGTTGAGATTTTCAAGTCCACCGTCCTTCAAGTTGAAGTCTGCTAGTCTTTAAGTTGAAATATTCAAGCCCTCCAAGTCTTCAAGTCCATCGATCTTCAAGTTAAAGTTCTTAAATTCACCGGTCTCCAAGTTGAGTTGTTTAAACCCTCTAATTCTTTAAGTTGAAGTCTTCAAGTCTGCTAATTCTTCAAGTTGAAGTTTAAAGCCCATCGCTCTTCAAGTTGACGCACCATAGTCCGCCAAATCTTCAAGCCCGCCAAATCGCTCTTGATGTTTACAATTGAAGAACATTGGCGCTATATATAGCTAAGAATAGCGGTTGTCAAGAATCTGTGTTTCGATGTGGGACTAGCAGTTTGTTAGAGTCAAACAAGAATTTGGTATTCTAGTTCGAATAGGAGGACAAGCTACTGGCGGCTGGAAAATTTGTTTCCTAGAAGACTCGGCTTGTAAAGGCTTCATGCAAATTGACGTGGATCAAATTGTGACCTTACTAGTCCAAGAGTTGAAAGGCAAAATAAAGTAATGGCCATTCCACGTGGACTATGCACATGCAACTTATGAATTCAAGGTTAATCATTACAGTGTGAAAAAATTATTTTCCAACCAAGGATTCTTGGAAAAGTTGAAGTCAGATGTTAACCAAGGTCTTGGATTTCCTGACTCAACCTTGTTCTTATATAAAGAGCGAGCATGATCTTATATTAGCATTACAAATGAGTTGTTTTTCTTAGAAGTTCAAAGTTGACGATGTCCGGATTTAATGTCTCGTGTTACTTCAATCCTTATCTTTCAAGTTCGACAAATCTACATTTTAAGTCCGGAAGTAAGGGTATTTGTAGGCGTATAAAATTTATTGAATTTAAATGTATTGGTCCAAATAAATATTATGGGTTAATATAATTGAATTAAGTATTTAAGTCCAATAATATTGACTAGGTCAGTCTATTTAATTGGGTTACAAATGATGAACCCACTTCATTAATCCCAAGATGTCATCTTCCTAGAGGTCCAGTTTGGTGCCACGTATCAAATGACGTGGCACGCACTACAACATTATGCATTTACAGCTACAAAATATATTGTAGCTGAATATGAAAAATTCTGTGGCTAAACACTTTAGCCACAATATTTTTTTTCCGTAGCATTCGTAGCAAAAAGTAGCGTAACTAAAAGTTAGCTACAGACTTTACATGATTCGTGGCTAAGGACTAATATTTATTGCTACGAATTTTTTTGATATTGTAGCAATATTAACAGAACTTTTTTGCCACAAAATATATACCTATAGCAAAAACTCTTATTCTTTTGCCACGACAAATAAACTCTGTAGCAGTCTCTATGTTGTAGCCACAAGGTGTTTTATCGTGGCAAAATAATTAATTTGTTTGCTACGAAAATTCATATGTTGTGGCTATTTTTATACCTCAGTCTCGTGGCAATTGTTCTTTTATTTAGCTACGAGTTCAAAAATTTATAGCTATAATTGAAGTATTTGCCACAAACTTTTTGGTATGTAACTAAGAATTCATTCTTTTTGCCATAAAATATATAGAATTAAAGCTATCGTTTAATCATTTGCTACGGAAAGTGAAAAAATTAACCATCAATTATATATATGTGTAGCCTCGAATTCTAAATTTCTATTGCTATAATTGAAGAATTTGCTTCAAAATAATTGGTCACAAGAATTTAATCCTGCAACTAAAATTTCAAATATTTTAGATTCCAAAATAGATACATATAAGAATTGTTACAATGTAGCTAAGAACACGATACGCAAGTCTTCTACAACACCATCTTGCTTGAGACACAAAGTAGCATCGTCTTCTCCTTTCTCTCTTCCCTAAGTAGCACCGACTTAACTGCACCTTAGCTTTAGTCTTAACTTGTCATTGCTACTCTAACTTGACAAATCTGCCTGTCAACGATAAAGTATTTTAATACATCAAAGCGAAAAATAACTGATCACATATGCAAGAGGTAGCCACTACATTGCTTCAAAAATTAATGAAGCAAAAGACATATTGCTTGCAAAGACTAAGAAGGCGGTACTGCAATTTAATTAATCTTAACCGAGTCGCATTAGTGCTTTCTAAGTTACAAATCACTTTGTAATTGGAGGCAGATCATGCTATCTGGCACTAGACTAAAATTTTAACTGAAATGGATTAATTATTTTTGGCCAAAAGATGTATTTTAGTCGGAGAAGGCAACAATTGACAATTGTATGAGTTCACTGAATATTTAACAGGTACAATTGAGTTTCAACTTCAATACAAAGATGCAAGTTCGATTAGTAAAAATATTAATAGAATATCAATAAGACAAGAAATATTTCTTGATAATTCTTTTACAAGAATTTTTAACATATAACAAAATAGAAAAATACAAAGCAACAAAAGAATTAAAAAAACCTGTAGACTTTTTAAACTTCTTAAAGGATCTTCATCCCAATTTTCTGATGTTGCTTTGCTGTCACAGTCCATGAACTATGGCTCTTCCCAAAATTACCACTTCAAAATCTTCAAATTTTCACTCACTATATATCAAAAATAGGGCAGAATATTAAATTGCTGAATAATTTGCAAAATTAAAACCAAAAATTTATGTCAAGTAGGTATGAGAAAACTCACAAACCGTAAAATATAGAGATACGAGCTTACCTCTTCTGCTCAAGAATAGAGAAGTTATGGGGTTCTCTCTCACTCTTCTTCTCTGTCGTTCTCGCATTTTTTAGTCTAACCATGGTTGAAGAAAGAATTGGGAAAGTGGGGGTGGGATTGGCGGCCGAAGAGATCAGAATGTAGTTTAGGTTTTGGTGATTTTGCTTTGGGCCAATTGCAATTGCTGTTTGTCATTCTTTTACTTGTTGTTATATACTCTATATTTCAATTTATGTGAACCTATTTCTTTTTTAATCCGTGCCAAAATTTTTTTATCTTTATATAATAATTTATAACCACACAAAATATATGTACCTCATTTTACACCACAAGTTCAAAAGTTTTCTTTTTTTTCTTAAACTCCGTATCTAGTCAAATGAATTCACATAAATTGAAACGGAGGGAGTACTTATATAATATATAAATTTTGCTTTCTTTTATTTTTTAATTAATACATCTTAATTCAGTAAATGCAAAGAAATGTAAGTGCTAACAATTATAAGTAAGAACACTACCTACGAAAATACAAAAAGAATAAATATATAATTTATGTCAAGTAACATAGAAAAAATAACTATTTGCATAAAATAAAGATATTCTAACTTAAGTTTTTCTTTAAAGTTTCTTTCATCCTATATGATATTGTTAGTAGTTTGTTATATACTCCTATTTTTATTATATTAGATTCGTATTTTAGTGTTTAATTAGATTTATAAAAAAGATTATGCTTATTCAAATTGAATATAATTAGTGATCAATGTAAATAATTACAAGCACAAAGTTACTGTATAATTATATTTTTTTTAAAATTATATTAGAAAATCACAAGTACTACTTAGTTTGATATGAATTATTATGTACTAATTAATTANATATGAATTATTATATACTAATTAATTATTTATAAACTCATTTATCAAGCAATATTAAATTCTCAATTTTTTGAAAGACAAGATCCTCTTTCTGTATACGAATTATATTAAATTCTTAATTCTTTGATTCAGTAATATAAATAATTTATTGTACAATGTAATTAGTACAAGATTATAGTTGTTTAAATTTGATATAATTTGCCATGCACATAATTGTGGGATATAATTCCATTTTTTTTTAATTATAATTGAAACTTATACCGTCAGACTTCTCTATAATAACATCCTCATACAACAACCACTCACTATAAAAGTCAAGTTTTTCTCATATCTGATTTTTATGTTATGTTATAATATGTATCCTCTATAACGATGTTTCACTATAGCAAAAAAAAAAATATTGGAACAAAAGAGGTCGTTATAGAGAGGTTTGAGTGTACGTAAGACTTATTTAATAATAATTATAATATAATCAATTTTTCTATGGACTTGGATGTCAACCACATTATATGAAACTCTTAATTCTTAGTGTAACTATATATAGTAAAATTAAATACTTATATCCCCTATATTATGAAAATCCTAAGGTTACACTTCCTCTAAGGTATATCCATAACTAAATGTATATTAATTACACTTCCTCTAAGGTATATCCATAACTAAATGTATATTAAAATATACTTATTAAAAAAATTAAATTTTTAAATAAAAAGTTCTACGTATTATTTTTATAAAATTTAATAGAGAAGATAAATATTATTGTTGAAAATTTGTATTCACGCGTTTGATTAAATATAAATTGCTTAATAAGATATGCAACTATTAGTGAAAACTTTCTTAAATTTTAAACATGTAAGTTATCTGTATTTTTAATTAAATATAAAATTCTTATTACATATGAATAAATCAATTTTATTTTAGTTTGTTTATTTATTGAACCGCTGAAAAATTATCTTAAGTTTGTTGTATGCTATTTTATTTGTATATGATTTTCATTATATGAGAGACTTACATATTTTTAGAAGGAAAAAAAAAGAATAGTTTCATTATAGTTAAAGACTTTTGGACGATAAAACTATTTTGTCAAATATATAACAATTCTAGTTATCTAATTAAGTATTTTGGGTTCATTTCATGTTTAAGAGTTAAGAAAGATGCATATTTCATAGAATATTTATTATCCTTTTTAATCAACTACATGAATAAATATTTTCAACAAAAATGTTTATCCTCTTTTTAAATTTTATAAAAATAAGTATATGAATAATGCTATAATTGTAATTTATTATTTAATAGTTTTATTTTAATAAACGTAGTTATACATTTACCTCATAGAGGTGTAAGTGTAAGATTTTTATAATATAGGGGAAGTAAGTTTGATTTTAAAATACAACAAATTTATCTAAAAATTGATTGATATTGCAATGATTAAACCTAAAAATTAAAATGAATAATAAAGTTAGCGATAGAAGTTTGGTTTATAGATCTTCTGCTATATGTTAGTACAAAAACTAGCAACAAATTTCATTTTTTGTCGCAAACCTGTCGCTATTTTACTATACTTTTTTTAGTTTAATTTTTATTCTATTTAAATTATATTTTAAGATTGAAGATATTTTTCATTTTAATCTTTCTTATTTAGAAGTTAATTAATTCTTCAAGTTATATACATTGTTGTTTTTCCAAATTTCTATATGAAATTATTTTTTCATAACCGCATATAATTTTTAGACTAACTCTTGTCATGACTTTCCTAGTCGAAGTAAAAGAATTCTTCTACAAATTGTTTTGCAGCTAATTTATTATAGTTAACATATTATTACTTCAATGATAACCTCAAATGTATGACAATATATATAGTTATGGTCAATTATGAATGGTAATTGTCTACTATTCATTTTGTCATGACAAATAATTGGAACTATTAAGCTAACTATTTGTATCGTTTTTTTTTAAACTTGAAGCAAAAACATCAATTAACTACAAGATTGTGTTTTAACTGATTTAATGTGACTAAAATGTTATTATTGCTACACGAAACTTAGAGTGTTGCAAAAACTTATGAATAGCTATAAAATTTCACCACAACAATAAATATGTGGCTATATCATTTATGACAAATAATTATAGTTATTAAGCCGATTATTGGCACGATTTATTTAAAAATTGAAGCAAAATTGTTTGCTCAACTACAACATTTTAATTTAAATAATTTATTGTGACAAAAAAATTTATTTTGCTACAGTAAATTTCAGCATGTGACAAAAACTATTGATTAGCTATGAAAGTTTATCATATAAAAATATTTATCGCTATATTATTTTGTCATGACAAATAATCGTAGCTATTAAGCCAACTATTGCCACAATATTTTATAACTTGAAGCAAAAATATTTATTTAGCTACAACAATTTGTTTCAAAAAATTTATTATGGCTAAAAGTATACTATTGCTACAGTAACGTTTAAACCATGGCAAAACTTATGATTACCTATGAAATTTTACTATATCAATAAGTTTGTAGCTGTTTAGGTAGTTATTGCCACGAAAATTAGTAATTATAACAAAAATAATGAATTAGCTTTATAAATTTAGTTTTGTGGCTAAGAAATTTTAAGAATTTATAGATAGCCACGAAATTCTAATTTTTGTGGCTATTATTAAGTAATAGCTACGAAATTTAGATTTGTAGCTTAGCTTTCGTAACTACAAATATATTTTGTTGTAGTGACGCCAAGACAAACGGAAGAGCCAATAGGATTATGTTGCGTGTCAAAATGACAAGGCATGCCAAGTCACATTAAAAGGCCAATGAAACTGCGCCACATGTGCAAGTGACATGTTCTGGCCAATTAAATGTGGCATTATCACTCTTTAATCTGATTGGTCGAAAAGAGTTTATTCATATCACAATTCTTCCCTCTCATAACTATAAATAAGGGTCTTCATAACTCAGAAAAAGAACCATAAGTTATAACAAGAAGCAAGAGAGAGCTCGTGGATCAAACGCCGCAAATTTCTCTGCATGTTTCAAGCTTCAAGCAATTAAGCTCAAGTTCAAGAAATCAAGTTCAAGCTCAAGAACGAAGAACAAATCAAGGTTCAAGGAGTACGAGTTCAAATCAAAGTTCGTACTAGTTGAATCCAAGATCATCGTTCGTGACAACAAATATAGATTCAAGATCGAGCTCAAAGGCCCTTGAATTTATTTACTATTGGAAAGAAGAATTAGAGGAATCATAGAGATTGTAACGCTCAAATATTTGAAATAAAATACTACGATTATTGCAATATTTTTCGGTCTTGATTTTATTTTGCAATTTTATTGTCTACAAAACTATAAATCCTTTTGACTCTCTCTTCCTTTTGGTTTTATGCTTACGTTTATCAGTAAAAATTTTAGTGTTATTTTTTTGTTATTTCAATTTTAATTTATAAACTATAGTTCTATTAGTTTTTTTTATTGTTTAGCTAAATGTTGAGTAGTTTGATTTAAAAATTTTATTACACCATTCATCGACATAAAAAATTATTGACTTACTTGAAGTTTGAACATTCTTGACGGAATTCCTGGCTGCAACACTGATATCGAATTATTTCTTTATCGAATTCGAGTTTAGTGTAATTGTACAATCACAAGTGATAAGAAAGCAAATGTTAAGCGTCAGATGTGAAACATAATTTCTTTCACATCGTTTAAGTAGGTCTCAACATAATTTGTATCTCTAAGAAGATAATCGAGTGAGTTTAGAATCCTAGTTCGCTTTTTATGTGAAACACACACAACTATAAAGGTATATGTCAAAAGTTTCGGTTCCTTTCGTATGCCACAAATTTACCAGTAACGTTTTATGCTCTCAAGCATGCCATGCATAGTAAATTAATCTTTGATTGATATAAATTTTCTAATACAATTAAGCCGTTTGGCAATGAGAACTTTTTCACTTTTTTTCGATTTTTTTTTTTTCGAAATCAGTATTTGGCCATAAAATTTTTAATATTTACTTGAAAATAAATTTTAGAATTTTTCAAACATTTGAAAAACTCCAAAAAACTATTTTTCAAAATTCACTCAGATCACTCACAAAAATTCAAAAACAACCCAAAATAATATTCATGTCCAAACACAACTCTAATTTTAAAATAATATTTTTGTTATAAATATAACTCAGAATAACAATATCGAACAAGGAAAAACAAGTTAAGAGATATAAAGAGAAAGAGAGGAAGAGAGATTCTTATTTCTTTTTCAATTGTGTGTTTTTCCTATCTATTACAAGGCCTTTATATAGGCATGAAAAGTGAATAAAAAT